TTTTTAATGAGGCTGGTCAGACCTTACTCTTGTATGATGCCTTACAGTTCACAAAGCTCTGTCACATGCTCTCAGCTAATGCAGACCACATGATGCCTCTGTCAGGCAGCTAGGACAGTGTTGTCATCTTTGTTGAAGAGCAGAAGGCATTAAGGATTCTGAGCACCTCTGTGTGGGCCTCACCTTCTCCATGTTCTCCATAGATTGGCTTGTTTGGTTCTAACTGGACTTTGGTGCGATAGGTGTAACTGTTTTGCATCTCATTGCTGTTGGTAGATGCCTTCGAGTCATTACAGTGACCCCGTGCACAGCAGAACAAAGACCTGTCCAGTCCTGTGCTTCCTCACAATCGGTGCTGGGCTTGCACGAGCTGCTGCAGCCACTGTGAGTCAGTCCATCTCATTGAGGATCTTCTTTTCACTCACCCTCTAGGGAGCTGCGGTGGCCCAATGGATAAGGAATTGTACTGCCAACTCAAAGGCAGGTGGTTTGAATCCACTAACTGCTCAAGGAGAAAGGTAGACCGTCTCCTCTCATGTGATTTACAATCTCTGAAATCCCATTGGAGGTTCAGCTATGAGTTGTTCTGACTCAGTGGTAAAGATCACTGTTCTACCATCATTGTGTCCTTCTGGAACTGACCCCTCTTGATGACATATTTCAAGTATGTTAGGCAAAAATTCCACCATCCTCCCTTCTAAGGAATGTTCTGGCTGTTTCTCAAAGATAAATTTGATTGTTCTTCTAGAAATTCATAGCATATTTATATTCTTCTTCACCAATATAATTCAAAGAAATAAATTTTTCTTTGGTCTTCTTTATTCATTGCCAAGCTTTTACGTTCATATGTTGTTGTTAGGTGCTGTTGAGTTGAGTACGACCTATAGGGACCCTACGAACAATAGATCTGTACCCTGCCCCCCCTGCCCCCACCCCTCCATCCTTAAAGTGTCTCACACACTAGAGCCCATTGCAGCAGTCACTGTGTCAATCCACCTGGTTGAGGGTCTTTCTCTCTTTCGCTGACCCTCCACCAAGCCAAGCATCATGTCCCTCTCCAAGGAACCACCTCATCCATAGGAGGTGACTGAAAATACCTTGGCTTGGGTCAGGCTTACCTTAGTGCTCAGAGTGGCGTCTTTGCTTTTAAAGATGTCTTCTGTAGCAGAATTACCCAATGCAGTACATTGTTGATTTCTTGAGTTCTGCTTCTGTAGACATTGTGGATGCAAGTAAACTGAAATCTTTAACTCCTTCAACATTTTACATATAAAGAATATCATGATTTTATAGATAAGGAAGCTGAGGTTCTGGGGGCGGGGTGTGTGTCGGGGGGTGGAATCCCTAGATCATCCACTCCATAAGTATTAGACCTAAGAGTTAAATACTTTTTTTCCAAATCTACCTCCTTTTCTACTGTCCCATGTTCTGGCTATGTTACTTTTACCCACAGTACATTAATGGCTTTTGCCATAATATTTTAATTTTTTACGTGCTAGTGAGCAGAGAGTTTTAATTGGCTTCAATTATCATTGTTGCCTAGTTGGAACTGACTCCTAGTTGACCCTCCATTGTTGAGAGGAGGCTGTCTTTCTCCTGAGGAGCAGGTGATCGATTCAAACTGGCAGAGAGGTACCACCTTCAAATTAGCAGTACAACTCCCTATGACTTTTAGGCCACCAGAGCCCTCTATTTTTTTTTCTTCTTTTAAATCAGAGCCAAATTATTACAAGTAGAAACTACATTACTCACTGTCATCTTCACTATAACTTTGGAAACTTGGAAGGTAATCTGTAATCTTGCTTTCTTCATTGGTCTCCTGTGTTTGGACAGTGTCTGGATGCATGAGGACTGTGTGTATGTTGGGAGCTACGGCTTCCAGAAAAAAGGACTCACTGATGTAAACACTAGAGGAGGGTGATTTTTCAACAAGCACTGCAATTTGACATCAAAATGAGTATTTTTCCTTAAAATCGGTACCTAGAGGGAACACCTAGTTCACTAATTTTAAAATATGCTTACCTTTTATGCAAATTGTAGTGGCCATCTCCTTGTCAGGTTAACCTCTGAGAGAGCTCCCCGTGTTTCTGTGATGGCCTTGGAGCTCCTTCTGGGCGAGGCAGAATCTTCTCTTCAACACGTTCCTAGCATCCGACGTGGACTCCAGCCCACCCAAGGAGCTCAGCTTTGGAGTGGACGGAAGTGAACTTCATTTCTCAATGCAGAGCCAGCACTGTAGGGTAGAGATTGATCTGAACAGATCTTACTCCCACCCCCGCCTTCCTTGTTCTCTGGCTGGCTGAATCTAAACAGTGACCTGGTGGGACACTTCAGTCCACGGTTGTCTGACTCCTGACTCCTCCAGGTGTTGATGAGTCATCCCGTGCAATTATGGAGGCCTTCGGTGATACAATGTTGGCCTAATCAACTGACAACTAAAAGGCTGGCTGTTTGAATCTTTCCAGAGACATTCTGAAATAAATCTAGTTCTCAAACATCAGCCATTGAAAAATCTGTGGAGCCCAGTTCTCCTCTGGCACACACGAGGTTGCCATGAGCTGGAGTTGACTACATGGCTACTGATAATGCTGTTGCATGTATTTCCTAGGATTCATTTCATCTCGGGCTGTTTCTTGCACCTCTGCTCATACTTCCTTTTTGTCTCATTCTAGCATTGTCCAGTTCTACCCCAACCTTGAGCACAGTGTCACCTTTTATTGACTGGTATTTTGTACCACTCTCTTCTCACAAACCAAGCATGTGATATTTCCACTTCTCCTTGGCCCATTCCTTGCCAAGCAGTCCCATTGGGAATGAATTGATAGCGCTGAACATATGACTACAATCTTCTCTCCTTTGTTCAACACTAGTATTTCAGAACACGCTGGATTTATGAGAATTTTAGGTTAAATCTCTGATCTCCAAGCCGCAGAGCAGGGAAATGGTCCAGGAAACCTTGACACCTTAACTGTAATTAGAGTAATCCCCAAAAATGTGCCATTACAAATCCTCACAGGTCAAACCCCCCTATCTGGAGTCGCCCACCAGCTCATCTCCTCTTTACCGCATCAGAATCTTCAAGGAAAATATCTCTAGTGTGAGAGAAACTAAGAATAATACTAAAGGAAAAGGAAAGAACTATTACTCCCTCTTCATATTTGGCCTAATTTAAAAGAATAGGCATGAATCTTAATTCCAGTTCTAGTAGAGGTATGTTTACATGCTCCCGACTATTTGAAATGCTTATAATTAAAAGTTTATCTTGATCTCATTGCATGATGGAATGTCTGCTGGACTAGGAGTCTAGAAATCAGATTCTGCCACTAAGTCACTATAAAGTGGAGTAGGTCACTTGCTAATAGTATCTGTAACTGAAAGTGTAGAATTACTTTCGTTTTAAAACTCAAATCCATCAGCATTTATTAAGCCATCCCAACCTTCTACCATGTTCTAAGCATGCAGTGAGAAAAGTACATCAGTCCTTTCCCTAAGTTCCCCATGAGTTTCAGGGGGAGACAAAAGACTTTGAAATTTCTTAGCCTTGTGGCATGTGTGTAACATCTCCCTAAACTGGGAACTCCCCTGGAACGACAGTGATAAGACTTTCTTCTGAATTCCCACTGTGCCCAGTATCCAGGTCTACATATGTTTGCTCAGAAAGTCTTTTAGGCCAAGCCATCCCCTAGATTACAGTACAAGCTTTCAGGGGCTAGATGGCACTGTTGCTAGAGCCAAATCAGGTGTGTTCTGAAATACAAGGGATAAAGAGGGAAGGGTACATAAAGCAGAAGCTCTAGAAGATTCTACTTGCTGAACATCAATCAGGATCATTGTGAAATACAGAAATATATTACTTAAATAGAATGCTCTGCTGTTCACCTTACCTTTGCGAACTCAGCTTCTGATGGTCTTCACAGTAACTTTTTGAGGTAGGCAGGATAGCTGTGTAGATCCTAATTTTACAGAACTGAGACTAAGGAAAGTCAAGTTCCTAGACTAAAAGCAACACAGAACATTTTACTGTCATATATTGTTGACATTATCAAATGAGAACCCTCAGCATGTGCCGAAGGCAATCTATGGTCAGTGTGTGGTTGCCCTAGAGGATGAACTGAACCTGGTCTGTGAGGAGTAAATACAGAGTTCTCCCCTGAGTGAATGGCATCAGCTTAATCTGTCCTTCAAACTATCTGCTTTTATGAGAAGAGAAGATTATAGGAATTTTTCAGGAAACAATATCATACGCAGTTTCTTTAATAACAAAAATTATGGGTAATTTGTATAATTATTAGACTCCAAAGTCAGTGGTTGAAAGTGTGTTTAAAAGATTATAGGATTTTTCCCTGTGATTGGGTTATATTTTTTGTTTGTTGGCTTATTATGCCCACACGTTTCTCATTAAAATAAAATGGAAAAACAAAATCCCACCTATTCTGTGCAGTAACTAGGGCAGAAGTCACTAAAGTGCCCATTCCATGAAGCATAGCTAGAGCATCAGAAATGTTAAACTATATGCCGTAGATTACAGAGCGAAGTGGTTGAATTAGAACTTCAACTCAGTATGTGTGACTTCAATTCCTATCCTTTTTTTAGTGTAGCTTATCCAGACTCTGTCAGCTCATATAATAATCATAAAATTAAAAGGATAATGTGGCTGTACAAAGTTAAGCAATAAAGACCAACACAACAACAACAAAAAAAGACACACACCCCCCAAAAAAAGCTGTAAGTGTGCAATGTTGAAGGAACTCTGAGGTTGAAGGAACCAGAAGGTCATGAGTCAGTGGTAGTTCAAATCTACCAGTGGCTCCAAGAAAGAAAGATGGGCAATTTTCTCCTGCTAAGATTTACAGCCTCAGAAACCCATGTAGGATTGCTGTAGGGTGGAATTAACCCAGCGTCAATGAATTTGAGTATGAGTTGATACAACATTGAAAGCAAAAAGAGTATCTGGTATGTTGTGTCTTCTGATTATCTTCAACTTTCTTGTCTCTTTCCAGGATGATGAAGATAAGCTGGACTGGAAAGATCGTTTCCCAGGCTACTTGATGAACTTTGCCTCCATCTTGTTCATGGTAATTTCCCTGGGGTCCTACCTGCTTGGGACTATGTTCATATAGGTCCTGTTCCAGCTGTTCTTCCTGAGAATTCTAGAATTTAGGAGTTGTTTTGAAAGGCCCAGTTCCAACTTGTACCAAGGAAGTGTCTGCGGTTCGTATCTGAGCATTAACAATTGAATGAGAGGAAGGTGTTCTTGGGAACTGCATGTTTGAGACAGACAGTAGTAATGGAAATGAGGAAATGGAAATATGCAAATCAGAGCACAGGATTAAAGTCACTAAGATATTTCTCACCCTTTTTGGAAAGACTCCTAGTGTTCAATATTGGAAGTTCTATTTTAGGAGGAAAAGTTGTGTCTTTAAACAACTCAGAACACTTAGACACAGAGGCAATAGGCTTTTCTTCATTTTTTTAACTGAAACTTTAATGAAAGTTATAGAGATTTTGGATTTCCTTTCATTCATTGTTGCACATTTTCCTCCCTGTCCAAACTTCCCCCCAGTTAGCTTTTCTCTTTGAAAAGAAAAAAAAAATCTTTCCTTGTTATACAATTCAACACACACACACACACACATATGCGACCCTGAATCCGCTTTACTATGCAGCTCTTATTCTGGACTCTTGCCATGAAAATAATACCTAATCATATATTCCTTTTAAATAGTTCTCTCCCTTATCTATTTCAATGCACTGTGCATTATTTATTCCCTCTTTTCTTAGTTTCCCCAACCCTGATGTTAGTATCATTTTACAAAAGTGGCATTATGCAGTATTTGTCCTTCTGTGACTGAGATATTTCACTCAGCATAATGTTCTCCAGAGTTACCCATTTTGTATAATATTTCATGAGTTCTTTGTAGGCATTTCTAAAAAACTCTATAGGTTAATTGTGGTTGCTTATTTAAAAAGTTAGGGTGAGGAGGGGTTTGTGCAGGGAGAAGGGTGCAAAAATGAATGAATGGAATTCCAAAATCTCTGTAGATGTTCATTGAAATGAAAAATAAACAAACTAAATTAAAAAAAAAGTTAGGGTGAAATCATCATAGTTTCTATTGTTGTTGTTAAGTGCCAGTGAGTAAGATTTGACTCCCAATGGCCCCATGTGACAGGTGAACTGGCCCACAGAGTTTGCTTGGCTGTAGTCTCAACAGAAGCATATTTCCAAGTCTTTCTCTTGTGAAGTCATTAGGTGAGTTTGAACTACCAGCCTTTCATCTGGCAACCTAGCTCTTAGCCATTTGTGCCACCGGAGCTGCTTTGAGAAAGTACCTCAAACTCACTATCATTGAGCTCACTCTGATTCATGATGACCTTCCACAAGTTACTGAGGCTATAAAACTTTACGGGAAGAGACTGTCCATCTCCTGTCAGGCAGCTGGTGGATTTGAATTGCTGACCTTTTGGTTCTCAGTGTAGCTTCTAATGCACTATGCTACCTGAGCTCTTTAGGTAATGCAAATGGTTTGCACTAGATTGTTAGCAGAAAAGTTGGTAGTTCAGACCCACACAGTGGTACCACAGAAGAGCAGCCTAATGATTTGCTTCCATAAGCATTATAACCAAGAAAACTCCATGAAACAGTAATACTCTTAACACGTAGGATCACCATTAATTGCAATCAACTTGATGGCAACCAATAACAGCAACTTACCAGAGGTAACTTTGGATGATGTCTAAGGTTATTGTTGTAATTATCATTGTCATCATGACCACTAAGTAAAAGTACTGTGTCTTAGACTTAGAAATTTAAAAACGGAAGCAAGTTTAGACACCATCTAATTCAACTTCTCATTTTGCAGATGATGTGTAGGATTGATGGGTGTCTTGCCAAAGCTTAGAAGTCTAAATTTATTTTCTTGTTATTGTTTAACAAATGGAAGGCTTGGGGAATTTATCTGGAATATATGGTGAATGGCAGTGTTATAAACTGGAATGATACGCAATTTAATTTAGATTTAGCATTTCAGTGCCTCCCACATGTGTCTATTGTTGCCTCAAAACCAGTGGAAGAATTAACTAATTTATTCGAGAAATATTCAGTGAGTGCCAAATTTGTGCTTGAAAATATTCCATGTAAGTGAGGTTACCACAGAAAAGAAAACAAAATAATCCCTTTTCTCTAGGAATGTACAAACAATACCTAAGTAAATGCATAAAATGAGTTTCTATCTCCACTTATGATGAGGTAATACATTTGCATATCTTCTTGTTGCTTTCGAGCCGCTTGTGACTCATAGTGACCCCTATGTACAAGAGCCCTAAATGCTGCTCAATCCTGTGCCAACCTCACCATCTCTGACACACTCACTCCCTCCACCCCAGTCACAGAATGGATCCATCTCATAGAGGGTCTTCCTCTCCGGTGCCGTCCCTCCACTTTCCCAAACATGATGTCCCTTTCCAAGGACCAGTCCGTCCTTGCTACATGCCCAAAATATTCCTTGACTCCAAGGAGCAGTCTGGCTTTACCTTCTCCAGGACAAACCTGTTTGTTCTTCCATCAGACCATGGTATATTCAATACTCTTCTCCAGCACCACAGATCAAAGGCATCAATTCTTTATCATCCCTAGTCGCTTTCCAACCCTCCAAAGCACAGCACATAATTGTGAAGACTATAGCCCGGATCAGGTGCACCTTAGGCTCCAGCTTGATGTTGTTGCTCCTCAGTACTCTTGAGAGGTCCCTGACAGCTGACTTTCCCAATGCAATTCATCTCCTGATTTCCTGGGTTCTAGTACCAAGAGTATTGACTAGAGAGCCAAGCAAACTAAAACTGTTGACTATCTCAATCTCTTCACCATCCATTCTGATGCTGCCAATTGGCCCAGTGGTGAGAATCTTTGTTTTCTTGGTGCAATGCAAATGTAAGATTGGCTATAGCAATAAACATATCCAAAAATAAGGCTCAAACTCATTGCTGTCAAGTTAGAACCAACTCCTACCAGCCTTCCAACAGGTTTTCAGGGTCTGTAAATCGGATGAGAGGAGATTGCCCATCTTCCTCCGACAGAGCTCCTGGTGGATTTGAACTGGCAGAGAAACAGTACCAAAATCAATATTTTACCTTCACGTCTTCAAGAATTAGAAAAGGGACAACAAGCAAAGCCTACAGTCTCCAGAAGAAAGGAAATAATAAAGAGCAGAAAGAAATGACATCAAAACAGGAGAAAAAATAAGTAAAAATAACCAAGACTATAAGTTCATTTTCTTTGAAAGGGTTAATACAATTAGCAAGCCCCTGGTAAGTTTAACAAAATAGAACAGGAAGGAGCAAATAACTCAAATAAGATGTAGCATCACAACAGAACCAGCTGAAATATAAGTGATAATTAAAAAGTACTATGAAAAACTATACTATTAACAACAAAAAAATTTGAAAACCTGGAGGGAATGGATAAATTATTAGACATCCCCTGTCTATCTAAACTAACACAATCACAGGTAGAAAATTTAAACAGACGTATCACAAATAAAAGAAATTGAACAAGTCATGAAAACTCTCCCCTCCAAAAACATTCTGGTCCAGATGGCTTTACCATTTAATTTTTCCAAATTCAGTCAGAGAAGGGCTGAAATCAGTACTACTCAAAATACTTAAGAATATAAAAAGGGTTACTTGGGGATGGATTTTAGGAAGTAGGCATAACCCTGATACCAAAACCTGGCAATTAAATCACTAACAACAAAAATTATAGACAAATGTCCTCATGAACATAGATTCCAAATGGAATCAGTGGAATCTTAACCACTGGAATCTAACATCAAATTAAAAAATAAGTCATCATGATCAAGTGCAATTCATACTAGCTACACAAAGATTGTTATTATTGTTGTTAGGTACCGTCAAGCCAGAACTGACTCATAGCTGACCCTCCAGCAGACTTTCAGAGACAGGTAATCACTTGGGAGGAGATTGCTTTTCTTTTTCCCATTTGACAATTGGTCTATTAAAACCACATCACATGCCTTTGGTTTAGCCGCACAGTTCTTTAGGGGAGTGCCCCTAATTATCACTGCTAATGTCAGCTGGATCCTGGCTGAAAGGTGAGAATACTAGAAGCATGCCTATTCGTGTTTTATTTACTATGCAAAGGCATTTGACTGTGAATAGTAACAAACTATGGCTAACATTGAGAAGAATTGGAATTCCAGCATATATAATTGTGCTCATGTGAAACCTACACCTATACCAAGAAGCTGCTATCCAAACAGAGCAAGGGATGGTTAAACATCAGGAAAGGTGTGCATCAGGTTTGTATCCTTTTTCCATACCTATTCATTCTGTATACAAAGCAGATATTTAGAGAAGCTGGACTCTATGAAGAAGAATGTGGCATTAGGATTGGTGGAAGACTCATTAAGACCTGCATTATGCAATTCGCACACTTTTGATTGCTAAAAGTGAGGAGGACTTGAAGCACTTACTGCAGAAGAACAAAGACTACATATAGCCTTGAACACAGATTACATCTCAACATCAAGAAGACAAAAATCCTCACCACTGGATTGGTAAACAACATCATGATAAATGAAAAAAGGATTAAAATTGTCAATCATTTCATATTACTTGGATCCACAAAACCCTTGGGGCAAGTTCTCTGTCATTGACCTCCAAATTATTGAGGAGCAATGATGTCAGGTTGAAGACTACAGTACATCTGATTCAGACCATGGTCTTTTCCATCACTTAGATCACTTTCCATCTCAGCTGTGCATCTGGACAATGAATAAGATGACAGAAGAAGAATAATTAATACCTTTTAGTTGTAATGTCTCTCGGTTCTTTGATTACCTGGGGGGAGATGGGAGGGGTTTCTAAGCTGCCCAGCCTTCAGCTTGTCAAATGCCTACCCCTTCCTCTGTGCGGCCAGCCGGAATGAATGTCTTGCGGTTTTTTCTTCTTTGATTACCTGGGGGAGATGGGAGGGGTCTCTAAGCTGCTCAGCCTTCAGCTTGTCAGATGCCTACCCCTTCCTTGGCCAACTGACTGGAAGAGATCGATATTTGTTCCT